GACGTATCAATATGTCTTTTGTTGTCCAAATGTTGTTGACTGCGGACGTGCCGTGAGTTGGGATAACTTTGATGCAATCAGGGGTTACTTTGTTCCAAAGACAGAAAATAATCATATTTTGCAGCACTTTTGCGGATATTTTTACACCCAATATCTTTTCACGTAAAAGTCAATGTAATTTAACAATTTGCAAAGCTGACGTGTTTAGGGAGAGATACTGTAAATGTGGGTAACTTTGACTCACAGTCAGGGGTTACTTTATCCGAAAATCAGAAAATTATCATTTTCGATTTTGCAGCTCTGAAAATTGTTAAATTAAGTTGATAGTTACGTGAAAATGTGTTTCACGCAAAAACACCTGCAAAACAGCTGCAAAATCGAAAATAATTATTTTCTAACCTTGGGACAAAGTTACCCCAGCTTACAATACAGTTACAATCACCATGTGAAGTTGTTAGAGCTGAAAATTGATAAAGTGTTCATTATAGAATTTATGACTATGTCTATTATTACTACTATGATTTCTTCCCTGATCTTTTATACATTAGAAACCGCAATATTATTGCCATATTTGATTTATATGAAAAACAGCTGGTCACAGACGTTAGTTTCTGCATAAATTCCCCGGTCAACAATGTGTTAATCACAGATGCCCACAAGAACCTCCACCATAAAGGCGTCCTTTGCATATGGCCTGTAAGGTTGAGATCGCACGAGCGTTGAAACGACGGACGCTGCGACGCGCGTTGCAAAGTCCGTCGTAGCGTTACATTTACATTATTTCGCATGAAATCAGTTACACGACCTACGTCCGTCAAACTTTACGTGCATGTATAACATTAGTAACATTGGCGATCGTTACAGGCGCGTATCAATTTGTTGCGTATCCTCGTATCGTATCACCGTTACGTAACGTATCATTGTATCGATCACCATACGATACATTTTCATATGCAGCGATGCAACGCTTGCCTGTCCCCATTGATACGTAACGATGATACGCAACAAATGGATACACACCTTAAGACGTTTGTCGAACATTCGGCATATCATCGAACTTGTTCGTATGGATACCTACCATGTATTGATGTGAGAAAGTTACGGAGGACAATACCCAACGCTCGTGTGACTGCAAACATTTATTGTAACGTACTTACGTCAAAATTGACATCCGTCGCAACGTCCGTCATTTCAACGCTCGTGTGACCCCAATCTAATGGCTAAAATGGCGTAGCGTTGAACGGAAGCTGTACCGATTCGAGAGGACGTATTGTGTCGTCCCCCGAGATTCTTTCATTTTCAGCCTGCTCTTTACTCACGCCTCGCCCGAATAATCCCAGACACAGTCGGCCAAATAATACGTTCGTTAATGCTTTAAGTACACATTGATCAACTAAAAGTTCTTCACGGTTTCCGCGCGGTAAATGACAAATCGCGGTTTTCTGCTGCTTCGACAGAATGTCCCATCACGACGGTATTTCGTTTTGGTTTACGGGACAGACAGGTGTGACTCGAAACCGATCGAGTGCAGTCTCGCCGAACGATCGAGAACGACGTGACATGTCGCTAATTTGCTGCAACAATGACATAACTCAAAATTTGCAGTTTTTTAGTTACTACCGTAAAAAGAAAGGGTCGTTGTCTGTTCTTTTTGCCAGTTAAATCCTATGAGTGAGTTTCCAAAACGTACCACGTCAGGACAGTTACATTAATATGATGTTCGTTCAAAATTGTAGCGATCGAAACATTCAAACACGGTTTCCCTAATATCATAATTTTTTAGTTATGTCGTTATCACAACGAATAGGCGATCTGTCCGCGATATTCCTGCGTGATGTTTGTCGATCCCCCTCCTATTCTCTCTCTCCATCGAACAACAGATCCCCCACGAAGTAGTGAGCATCGTCGAACGTAGAAGCAAACGTTTCCTTTTTGTGCTGAGTAAAGGTCTACCGAACTATTTACAACTTATAATGCAGAACTTAAAAAATAAAACCTCGGCAACGAACAACACCCATTTTTCACCCCTCCCTTTTGCGTTAACGAATACCGTCGACTCCGGCGGGTAACTTCGCGCTCGCACACTCTCGTACATTCGTTCGTCTCTTCCTTTCTCACCATCCTTCTCTATTTCTCTCCCCGTAATTTATTCTAGCTCCCTCCGATTCTTGCATTACAATTTAAATAACTAAGTTATGTACAATGCACACACACACGAGTCGTCGAAACGACGATCGAACACGTACCCTCTTCCCTATCTCCACGACGAAATCGTTCTGTCTTGGTACTGTCGACACCGACCCCTCCGAAATTAACCCTTACCGCACGCTGACACTCGTTTCATCGATCTTATTGATCCATCGTTGAACTCGATGTGATTGGAATAAATGCGATGTTGCGACGTAATTTTCATGGAACGTGAACAAAATCTGTAGAACCTAATTCACGAGAAAATGTTCCGTGTAGACACGGTGAAATAAGGTGATTTAACCTTCGACTGGTCACTTGGGGCTTAAGATCCCAGCCAGCTTTAAACGTTCATAACATTGTTATCTCAATCGTGCGAAGGTTGTGTTTTCATATAATTGAATTTATGTTATTAAACTATAAGAACTGAGATGATTCTAATTTCTATTCATTAGAAAGTGCTCCTTTTTTCTAATTAACCTAAATAAACCCTTGTTTATGTTCTTTTTTGTTTGCAGAGTTTAAAAATAAAATTAATATATTATGTTTTTTTTAACGTATTAATAATAATAATAATAATAATAATAATAATAATAATAGTAATAATAATATGGCCGATCATGTAATTCTAAGGCACGTAACCAGTCAAAGGTTAAACGATATTCGTTGTACCAGGAGCTTTGGAGTTTGACATAATCGGTGCCGGCTAGTCTCATGGATGATTCAAGTTGATTTGCAATTTAATTCACTGTCAGCCTGTTATTGGGTAACATGTTAAGTGCCGTGTCGATCATCGGTGATCGATACAGTCAGACGAATCGATATGAAATATGAGGAACGATACCTTATTTTATCAAAATTAAGTGGGGGTCATATATCTAGCGCTCTCCATACCAGAGCTTTTTGCATCTCCTCCAGAACATTTATTGCAAAATTTTCGAACATTTTAAAACAATTATCGCATTGTGTGGCGTAAACAGAAAGATCATCAAAATCAACTCGGCACTTAACATGTTAATATTCTGTTCTGTGAAGTTGAATAAGTTACCTGTAATTGGTTATCACTAAAATTTACATTTAATAACGGTCCTCGAAGCAAATGTCGAATACGGCGTTCTGTATTTTAGTTTTTAAGTTTGTTATCCGACTTGGGTCGGATATGGTAGAGAATGTATCGAGCTATATGTACAAGAGACACGTTGCTCTGAATCAGAGTCGCCACGTGTTATCGAAAACTTTTCACGATAAAATAGCCGATTCCATTTAAATTTGTTACAAACGATAAGGCTTGTAATGGACAAATACCACACAGACATTATGTTCCATGTAGATCATTTTAAACTGTTTCTGATTATCGAATCCATACATGAAATGGGTTCCACGTACTGCGTTGCTTCCTGTACAAGAATTCCCTCATTAAGTCGCGTCTACACTTGAAGGAACAAAACCGAGCGACCGTAAACAAATACGTATGGACATAATGAACACAAAGGAATGCAATCCATTGTCTGGCAGTAATCGAACGGAAATATTCAGTGCACCGTAGACAGTATAAACGTGTTTACAAACTGACCGTTGGCGTAATATCAAAGAACATGAGCAAAGTGGATTGTAAATACACGTATGCGTTCATTCTGGCATGTTCCACGTGTATTAAACTAAAATGGATGTGTTCCGATCGAACGATACCCTTTTTCCCAAAAGTTCCCCAAAAACTCCTTGGACCACTTGCAAAACTCACCCGACCTTCTGAGAAGCACACAGTAGGAGCTCAACCGCGCCGATTCGTTTCAAGAAACTCAGAAGTGCAGCCGCCTAACTGAACGACAAAAGCTTTTTGACGCGACATTAATCCCTGGTCGAGTGCTACGCGGGACGTGATAGATCCCTGATGGTAGACTCGAGTCCCTGCATTCGTTCGAGTCCCATAGAATGAAAGTGACCTCCGAGAAAACATTCTTTCATCGAACTCCACACACCGTAGAAGCCCCGCTATCCTCGAATGAAAGCAAGACCGTGAGACACGTCGAACTGCTCTCATTCGTAGGGATTTTAACAAGTGATATATATATGCTATAACAATCAGTAACATAGTTTGTACTTGATGGAAGGAATGTAGTGAGGTACTCGAGGCACACAACAGTGGAACAGATCCTGGTAATATTTAAGACACAGAGCACAAACAGCGCCCTTGATCGCAAAGTGCTACGGAGACGTATAATATTTTATCTGATATGCATTTTGGTCAGGGAGACAAGCAGATCGCTCGAACATCAAGTTCCGTAAATACAGGTAATGGGCTCGACGTGAATCACGTAGGAAATAAAACTGCAAGAAGCTTTATTCTTCGGCAGCAATACTGAAATAAACCAAGAAGTTTCGTACGTTGATTCATCGAATCATACATTTCGATCATCTCGCAAGATTTCAGAGTATCCAAAGCTCCTATTCTAGGCAAGTGTCGCATAGTCTTCGAGAGGTACATAGCGCGGATCGCGTACACGGTCTCTTGTTCAAGCATATTTTTTAGGGCCTCTTGTAGTTCTCGAGGGTTCTCAGAACCTCCATATATTCCTTCGAACAAATACACGCAAGAACGCGATTCCACGTACATCGTTGCTCTCTCTTTCTCTCTCGATTAAGTCTCGCGAAACGACTCTCGTGAATATCATCTAATCCTCAGCGGAAGCACCTTTCGTCTTTTTCTTTTGTGTCCTAGTTGCGCGGAATCGAATCGTTCAGCGAAATGCTCGCCTACGCGTCGATTGTGTCTCGGCGATAAAACGCGTCTCTGACTCGCAGTTTCGATACTAGACAACAATAGCGTGGAACGGTACTGGCTCTAAAAACTTTGATATCTAATTTGCTTAAGTAACTTGGGTAGGTATAGTGTCGTTATTCTGTCAGCTAGGAAACAATAGAATCGTTACCGTTACAGTTAAACGCCTCCTGTTTTCTAGGCGTGGTCCATCCGAAACAAAACGTCCCACACAACAGCCGTTCAATTCCCGATGCCATGTTTTAAGTACTAGCCACGACTCGATGTCTATCACAGTCCTTCCGCGACCCCATCTAGGCGAGCTCATCAGCGTCGCTAACTATATGTCCGAATCTCTAGCTATCCCTCCCTCCGTCTCATCAATTCCTAATACTCTAGGAAGATCGACAGAATATTCTCATTCACGGCCCCTTCGTCACGGCTGTTGCCGATCGAAAAAAAAAAAACGATAAAAAGAAAATATCTCGCCACGTAGCCGGAAACTAAACTACTTACGTCTCTTACTTTTACTTCAATATTTTTTTTTTCATGTTTTTGTCATTTTTGTGGATTTTTTCATATGTTCGACGAAACACTGTGGTGCAGCATAATCCTTTGGGTGCGCGTGTGTGTTTAATTTTTCTTCATCATGCAGAACGACGGGATAGTAACCGTTTTGACAGCGCCTAAACTAGCAGAGATTATTGTACACCTCGTTTATACGTATGTATGTATCTCGTGACAGACATTTAAGGTTATGTTATACCAGAGCGTTACGGATAACTTTAAAACCGTTCACCGATTCGACCGAACATTGTCGTCGTGCGTCGTCGTGTCCGTATAACGTTGACCAACGGAGCATGGTCCCTCCCTCCAAATTCACTCTTTTTCTAAATTCGCTTCGCGGATTTTACATTGAAATCCGAGGTCAATTGATGCTTCTGTGCGTAAATCTACTCGTCTAAAGGATGTTTACAGGGGTACGTGTTTGTTTGTTCTTTTTTTTTTTGTGCTAATTCGGCATCTTCATTGCTACTGGACATCTCAACGAGATGCGACGCGTCCTTCCTTCGTCTCGACACGACCATATCACCCGGATCCGGGATTCGACAACCAAGGAATCCATCGCGATCCGAATGATGATATACAACTCTCGCACATATAATATTCCTGGTCACGCGAGAGGTCGATGTAATACGCGAGATAGATCGATACGCCCGAACGAACGAACGAACGGACGCACGCACGCGCGCTTTTCGATTATTACACTACGATCTGCTCGAACGGAAGTACTTGGCGACGCTGTTGATGAACTCCTGACGCTATAATTGCACCTGGAACGCCTGCGTCGCGTTCGGCATTATGAAGGGATTCGTGGTGCTCGACTGTCGGAGATTCCTAGCCGCGATTTCCGCCCACTCGGCGTCGAAAGGATCGGTGGGACCGCCGCTCCTGGACGGCGGTTGCTGACCCATCGCGGCTGATCCAAGCGATAGCGCCCTCGCATGCAACGGCGGCGCTCGTCGGGGACTCGTTTGCCCTACTTGCGAAGGGGATTGCACTGACGACGGCACCGTGCCGGTTATGCTGCCCAGCCATTGTTCCGGTTTCGGTAATGCAGATGTCGTCGAGACTGGTTGGACCTGAAACGATGGACCATAGTGAACGATCTTGTTTAAAGGGTCTAAGGATAACATACGTTCCTTGAATGTAAATTCACTCGGTGGTAGAAAAACAGAAAACTTATCAGGTCGTATATTTAACATATTAAAACACGCGTTCTGTTGACTCTTAACATTTTACTGCTCGGTAGTTTAGTAACAGACTTTTAAATTGCAGTGCTTATAAATTAGAAGCCTGTTAATCTACTCTTAAATCTGCTTAATGCTGCTTTTCATAAATTGTAATTTATTACTGTGATTGAACTGTTTAATAATATTTGCTTGGCTGTTGATCGTTGGATTTACTAAACCTATTAACCCTGTATTGTCACACCTCCTTCTTCAAACATCGTTGTCGCACTGGATCAATTTGATCCCAACCAATATTCAATCAGCTGTTGTTTAAAAGCTATTTGTTAAATTATGTCGCAAGCAATTTTGAGATGAAGTTTGAACACTAGATTATATTTTCATGGTTAAAAATTAACACTTGGATGTCGGATGACATACTAGTACGTCTTTTCAATCCAAAAGCTAATAGCAGGTGACGTAGTAGTACGTATTTCTTAAATGAGAACTCGAATAGTAAAAAGTAGGGAAAACTTGCTTTCCCTAAATGCAAAGTTTGACAAATAAAAATTAAATAATAGTTTGTAAATATTTTTATCGTAGTTTTGTGCGTGCTGTAAATACAGCACCCTCTGAGCGTACAATCTTGAGTATAACCCTTCCGCCAGCAAAGTGTTAACATTAAAAGGTTAATCATGTATAAAAAATTCTTTAAAAAAAAACAAAATTCTGAAAGAAAGTTATTTCGGATACTTCAAATTACTATTACACGGCGCCAGTAGTGCCATTTTCAATGATGTTTCAAAGGTATTTTACTTCACATTCAAATTTTGTGTCAACCTAACCCAATGTGACAACAGAGGGTTAAATAGGAGTCGGTTGGTAATGTTTTAATGCCTTATCGACGAAACCGTTGCACCGATAACTTACAAACGAGATTTTTTAGAAACACTGATATTCATTTGACCCAATTCTGCGTCGAACCGATGGTGTTAATCACTTCGATAACATATGTCATCCGTCGACAAGGTGTTAATTTATAGAGACGGATGGGTACAACACGAGTCACGTGTCTTCTTTTCATGGCAACGGTGTGGCTCGTTCTTTAATTTGGTAGGAAATATGTATGGAGTTGTCCATAGATGTAGGATCACATGAAAGTTTGCTAGATACATACTATACATACACCCCCGTTCATATGTATTAGGACACCTGTTGATGCGGTCTCATATAAAACGTGATAGTTGATCCAGATTAATTTAATATAATTTACTAATTTTATGACATCCTGTTACAAAATTATACATTAAGGTACATGTATTTGCTATTTATATCATTAACGATTTGCAAGAGTTATTAGAAACTGATGAATTAAATATTATGTGTTAATCCCTAATCTAAGCTTCATTGCACAAACTTGGAATAAATTAGATTGGAAAATCCGAAATGTATATTCATAATCTGAATCTGACCTGTGGAAATAAAAAAACACATTTACAGCACGCATGGAACCAAATGACGACTAGAAGAATACAGTAATACACAAACTTATAAAACAAATATAAAAATTGATTAATCCTACTATCGAGAAATTAACGGCAGATGTATAAACGAGAAAGAAATTTAATATTATTACACATAATTGGTGAGATTTTTATAGTTACGTTGAATATATAATTCTTTATAGTCCAAGGATCCCAACCAGATAATGATTGTTAAAAGTTTTAACTATTTCCCAATGATTTCTTAGGTTTACTTACTTTTCCGTAAGTGTCCTAATACTTTTAGATGAGGATGTAAGTGGATCAATGATGCCACAAACGATGATCTTAAATGTACGATACTGTTTACTTGAATTGCCCCAGATAAAACTATATTAATGTCCATAATACGTACAGTTTAATTGGATTAGTGGTATACTGTAATTTTTTTGGATGAAAAAGAAAAGTTTCATTTCGTTGAACACGATAGATGTTATACTCTTGATTTTTTTAAAGAAAAAGGACGACTGATAGGGCGCGATTTATATTTCAGTAATTAATTTCAGTAATTATAAAAACGAAACAAGATTCTGGAAGATATTCAAAAATATAATTAGCAACGCGTCAGTAAAATTGAATGTGATACAGGTCAACAGAACTGAATTTTTCCATAACATACTCAACAAGTGTAGTCAATGAATGGTTTTGCGATAAGAATATTGAAGTTCGTTCATGAGTAACATTATCTCCTAATTTAGATATTCTACAGAGCGTACATATACATGTGTGACTGGGTTTCCAGCCAAATTTACCGTGTAGTGAACAAAAATATGAAAATCACTCCAACATTATTAATACCGTCAAATTAGCATAGATGAATACTAAATAATCATACTAGCTCAACAGATGCAAACATATTAAATATTAATGAATAATAAGTACAGATTGTAAATATAATTCATTTTTCAAAAGTAGGTCTTCATGTGACATGTGCTGTAAATGGATTTTACGATGTTTTGTTTACAACTGGGTCGAGTGGTATATTTTTCACAGATTTTAATTGAATGCATAATAAATACAAAATAAATATAATTTTGGAACCCCTTGCCCTTCTTACTACCATCTTTAAATTATATAAAAGTACAATCGAAACCATTTAAAACAGGGTTATATCACACTCGCAATTTTAATTAAAAACAAAAACACTTAGACAACAACACAGTTGATCGATAGACAATTTTACGAGAAGAAAAAGCAAAATGCTTCAAAATAACGAAAATGACACCAAAGAGAAAAGAGAAATGAATTGGTGTAGGTACATCATAAGTAAAAAGTATTTAAAATGGTAATACAGAGAATGAACGGAAACAAAGAAAATATTTATTTTTGTCTTATCAGGGTAAATCTGAGGTGAGATGCCCGAGTTGCTGCATTTCAGAAAATATACGTAACGCGTACTATATAATCCAAATCGTTCCTTCAATTGAAGGTGTAACGACCACGATTGTATGCCAAACTTGACAGGATAATTTTAGAAATGATTTTAAAGACATTTGTGAACTTGAATAAAAATGTAGCTTAAGGTCCTTATGATACGTATAAAGAAGAACAAAAAAAATTTGATCACTAATTAATTTAGTTTAATTAAGTTTTTTATCGTTTTCTATTCTGTTCTTGCTTGACTTATTCTTCATGACATATTAATCTTAATTATTTCAACAAATATTCTTTTAAAGGAAACTAACCACTTTTTCCGAATCAGCATAAAATTTTAAAAATATCACTTTTACTGTGATGCGATAAATAATACCGGTAACATTTCTCAACATCTATTCCCTTTAAAGTGGACCAATTGTCCCAGATTTACTCTATTTCTCTTGAATTGCAGTTGCTTCTCGAGCTCTGGCGCCACATCAGCCTCTCAACCCTCTACTTTTGTAACCTTGACAACTTTACAGCATCATCGAGGCTTCGTCGTTTATCGATTAACCTTTTCGGTGCGGCGAAACCAGAGTGCGACGTTATTCATTATAATAAAGGTTATTTTCCAAAAAATTACTGAATAATTGTTAACTGTTTTAAAATCTATATATAAAATTCGATAGCTCGGAGTGAAATACAGACATATGATTCAGGTGATCAGAAATTGCTCCGTATACACTTCTTACTATAAAATTTAGTATAACTATTTCTGTAATTTTGTTAATACCAAATTAAAGATAAAACATAGATTTATTCGAACAACAACAATTATTTTGGATTTGGTTAATTTTTCTACTAATATGTTAAAAAACAGCGATAGTTACTCAATAAGGCTGTGGACACAGTGGCACCGATATCGGACGATTCGCCCGACACCCGATGTCGGCTCAATTCAACCTTTTGGTAAGCACTACGTGGTCTCAGTGACCAATGAAATCATCTGACGTCTGACGAAAACAATCTGACGACCAATGCCGGTACCACTGTAACAACAGCCTAAGTTAGTGCTGTCCAACTTTGCTCTCGGGAAAGGCTACTCACACGCCTGCTTTCCCATCCAATTTTTCATTCGTGCCGTGTATCTCCGTAGAAACAAAAAAACTCAGACTATTGTCTCTGTTACTCGACAGTAATGGCGGACGATGGGTGGGGACAGCTGTTGATTCTAAAAAGCCAGGTTGGACAGCACTGGCCTAAGTGATCAGGAAGTGGGTCTATAACGGTGCTTAAAATTAATAATCATATATTCACGTTTGTTTATCCTAGCAACGCAAAAAGCATTCGGCGACACCAACTATTCCGAAGTCGACTAGTATATTTGTTCAACTTGTGGACAACTTGTAGACATAGGGGGAGTTAGGCATTTTGATGCAACAGGGCACAAGGGAACATCAATACCTAGTATCTCCATATCCATAAACATTCAAAAGTTCAAAACATGACCACAAGATGAGATCGCTTATATGTTATCCTGTGGTCATGTTTTGAACTTTAAATGTTTTAAGGATATTGAGAATCTAGGTATTGATGTTGTATTGTGCCCCGTTGCATCAAAATGCCTCAACTCCCCTTATATATTCGTTGTCCCTACCGAAAGGGTTAGATGTTTTTCTCGTCGTGCTCTCGGGACATTCAGGCCTACTGTCCACTAAGGCGTTTCGTCATAGACACATCAGCATAGCATACAACATGACGATTACGCTACGCTTGAGTTTCTGTCTATTCGAACGTATTGGAAGCATACAGGAAGCGTACAGAAAGCTTAATTTTCCTCATTCGCAAAGATATATTGTAATTATATTGTAATTATATTCGACGGCGTAAAAATCGGAAAAGATATTGGTTACATCCTCACATAGAATAGAACATAAATAATCATGTATTTCATTCTTTCTATAGAACGAATAAAAATACGTGCAGGAATTTAGTGCGTTTGGTAGCTCCGTTAATCCAAAAACAAGACACTAAAATGCGATGTTGTGTTAGCCATGTACGAACATGGGTAATTTTCCAATTTTTTTAATATTTTATTGGTAACTTTTCAACAATCTGTACGAATTTCACGGCCGACATATTTCACACTCAAATACAAATGAAAATTTTGCATCCTTCTATACGCCTAGCGGCAGACATCGTTGACTACGTGCTTCATGCCGAACGCATGCAGCGACGAAAATGCGACGCTGAAGCGTATGTGGACACACGTCCATTGTTTTACATGGGTCGCTACATGGAACCGTCCTGCAAGCGTCAAATGTCTATGAAGCGTCTATAACGAGACGCCTTAGTGGACAGTAGGCCTTAGACTAAACATTTGGTAGTAGCTGGCTTGCACTTACCGCAGTTGTGGAAGCCGCGTTTCCCACCGGTGACTGATTAATTTGGCTAACTTCGTTAGCCAGCCTGCCGGACAGGGCCGGAGAGGCAGAAGTGACGCTGTTGCTCGGAGACGTTGTCTTCGGGGTGATCGCCGGTATCGGTGATCTGTTCACGGCCGGCGTTGATTGGTTCCCTAAAGAGGATGTGGACGCTGTGCTGAACGCTGGACTCGCCGACGGCGGTGTGCCGAACACACCGACGGTGCTGGACGGCGCCGGGGTGCTCATCACGATGGGCGTTCCTGTGCTTGTTCTTGGAAGAATGGGACTGATGTTCGAGGTTTTATTCAGAATTGGCGTGAGCCTGTGGTTTGAGGCCAGAACCGGCGACGGAGATGATTCTTGCCAGGTGGACCCGACGTGGTTCAATGTACCAAGATCCCCATTCTTCTCGTCATCGTTGTTGTTGTTGTTGTTATTATTGTTTAAACTTGACCCGTTTTGTAACTTGATCTCGTCCAGGGAGTTACTGTTCGTCACTGTAGGAATGTTTAATTATCAGTCTTTTTTGTGTTTTCTGTCGTTCCATCATTTCTTATTGTGTTAATTTATATTGGCTGATTAATTATTGCGGAGTACCTAATGATTAGACTGCGGATTTCATGCATTTATGGTTATGTACAGGCTTGTAGGGCGCTCTTAAGTGGAATGAAAGACGTAACATTCGTCAGATGCAACGTGTTTTCTGTCTTATTCTTGTCCCAATAAGATACTTATTGAATGAAAGAAATTCTTTCTTTTGTTTCTGTCTCTAATAATTTCTTTATAAGTAGTAATTTCGCATAAAAATCTGCGATCTATTAATGACCAACCAAGGTGCAACAGTTTAAGATTAGCACGACCTCTTTTTACGGAATATTATTGAAATTGATATTATTGTTTCGTGCAGACTGGATGTACCGCTCGAGAGATTGGGATCGCTTACCGGCACAAGTAGTCAAACTGGGTCTTTTTAAGGAAAAATACATAAACCAAATAGCTGACTTTTCCAGAAAGAAAACTGTGTCTTGATAGTTTCTGCTGTTCCAATAAAATGTGTATTAATCATAATGTATGATTATAAACAAAATGCAACGTAACAGAACGTACACCGTAACATCTTTTTTTTCTTTCGATGCTGTAAAGATCATTCGTACTTTATTAAATAGAACTTTATACTTTTTCACATCGTAGTAGTAATAGATTGTTCTTGCATTTAAATATATACTAATTGTGGTCCAAATTCCGCGAATACAAGGTCGTCCGTTTAAGTAAGGCCACCCAAATATCTCTTCAAGTTCTTGAGATGCAAAAAATATTTGTTACGTAATGTGCATGGTGTCAATGGACCAATATCTGGCAAGAATATTTTTTCCCAAGGTCATTTTTTCCGGAGTTATCAAGGTCATCGGTGTTTTTTGACACATAACTACTTTTTTTTATCGCATCGTGTAGTTGATCGACAAATACATTCAGATATGTATAATAATATGACCTTGAAATGATGCACATTACGTAAGAAATATTTTCTGCATCACAATAACCTGCAGAGATATTTAGGTGGCCTTACTTAAACGGACCACCCTGTACAATTTTTATCTTAACAATCCAAAGGAACACAACACAGTTCTTCATTTATAACGAATTACCCTGTAAAACCACAGAAATATGGTGTTGCTGAGAAAATGGTACACTGAACTAGATTACATTATGTTCTTTTAAGCGTTACGAATGCGATCAATGATCCCAACCATTCTCAGCGGTAGCATACAAGAGCTTCTACAATCGAAGTTTCCAACTGTGATACCAACTTTGTTTTTGAATTATAATTCGAAAAATCTGTGACAATTTTCACGGTTATTTGAATGGTCTTTTTGAAGACTCAATGATACGCACCTGACGGATTGTTACTGGTACTAGTGCTGATGAAAAGCTGTTTCGCAACGGAGCTTGTGGTGCTCTGAGTAGGTAGCGGCCCAAAGTCGTCGTTACTCGACAAAAGCGAGAGACCTCGTGAAATCTGCTGACACATTGCTGAAACGCTGTCCTGGCCACTGGGTGATATCTCAGGTATTGGGCTGACTGTGGGAACGAATTGCGAAATTTCCTTATCAGTCCCGTGACACACCGACAGGTTACGAACATTAACTTAATTACCAACTAAATATTGTGCTTTGAACTGGTGCTCGACACTACGAACTACATGCTTCACGGTCACGTGAACGCGTATAGGAGATATCTAACGTGAAAAAACTGTATATGTGGGAGGCCTCTAAACAAAAACTCTGAAGGAAGCAACAGTACCTTGCAGAGACGCTCTGGAATCTCTTGAAACAGGAGTATATTGTAAAACTACATGAAAAAACTATGTAACTACGTTATCGTAATGAACATTATCCTTCTCTTGCTGTTCCTTCTATACCTTTAAGCACTTGGGTTAGAATAACGTCTCTCACACGTGATATTAGGTGGATACCAAAATAATGATCGTTTTTACGTCGTTAATCGAAAATAATTTCCTTCAATAATCTTCTGCCATGTTTTTGGCAGAAGTTGAATTTCGTGACGATAAAATGATTCGTTTTTTCTGTTGATCAAATTATGCATCCATTTTTGGATACTTTTTCCTTCTTTCGAAACTTTTTTTCAGAAAGGTTATGTTGCAATGTTCTAAATAAATGAAAATTCGACGGTGAAATATCAGGGGAATAGGCCAGATGCGGTAGTATTTCTCATCCAAGTGCCAATATTGTCTGTCCAGTATGACAAGCAATATATGGTCTGGCATTGTCATGCAGCAGTGCGGCATCCACTTTCCCTCTTTCCGAATTTTTCCCATTTCTTGTATTCGTGTACAAACTGTTACTTGTGTAACTTCTAAATAGTCGACCAGTTCTTCTTACATTTGCGCTGGTTCTATAAATTCAGTTGAAAACGCATGCATGCTACCAACCTAAATGTATCGGCCATTACTTTCGTATACACCTAATAACTACGTTTGGGCTTAAAGTGAATTGCACGTGTCTCACTCGTGGTCTGACTTTTTCACTTTGATAACGGTTCAACGTATTTCCTGTTATTATTATCAGTTGCCATTGAAATATAGGATTATTTTACTTGTAACTAAATCACCTTAGAATAATTTCGCGCAAAAGAAATAGTAGTAATCGTGATTTTTGTGACCTGTAGGAACCATGATTTTGAAGGTAATATACATATTGCGCAGCAATATACTTTATAAATTGGCAATTCTATAAATTTAGTTAACAGTAGAAATAACGAAGTTTATTGTTACTTAAATAATACTCTTTTTTATTTTGCATTTCCTTCAATTTATTTAAATAATTTTTTTGTAACGATTGTGTAAACGGTCAATTCTAAATAGTAAAATTGTGTTTTTATACTGCTGTAATCACAAAAATAATAAACATTTCATTACATTATTTCATTGAAGATTTGCCTCGATTAATTATTGAAAAATTGAATAAACGCATACGGCCCACGTAAGTAGTCGTTGATTGAACTCCAACCCAAGTGTGGTTAATTTTATACACCTGTTCAGGTGAACACGATGCAACGAGAAATTATTAAAACTGAGAATGAACTCTTCAAGCTTCTTGTAATTATCTTCTAAGTTTCTCCGTTGAGTCATGAATAACAAATCTAAATTCTCGATGTTTTCTCGTCGCAAAGCGTAATTCGGAACATAAAACGAGCACGATCCAAGAACATTGAAGGAGGGTCAGGCAACACGGATATTTAACAGAATAGGGAAATAATGACCTTCGTCATATCCTTCGAATTCTGTTGTAAAAACGAAGAAGCAGATTATTTCGGTGTCGCCCACGGTAGCGGTGAAGTGACATACACTACCGGCCAAAAGTTCGGAATCATTTGCTGATTTCTAATAAAATCGAATTTCCTGGTGAATTTTGTACAGACCCATTGTTAATATACCACATGGTAACAAGAGTGCATCCTATCTCAAAAGATTTCAACATTTTCTTATATCCAAAGTATGTACTTTTATACAGGATGTCCCAAAAAATAGGACAATCCTCAATATGCATATTCCTCATGCAAATTCAAATCGAAAACTCCATTACTGTTTTGTAATCTAAAGTTCCGTTTTCGAAATATTAGCACTTAAACGAACTCCAATCAGCTGAGCGGTGAGCCACACGTACGCGCAGCATAGTCAAGAAACAGAGGTCAGCGACTTGGGTCCTGCGCTTCTTGACTGCGTCTGCACGTACGTGTGAGTTCATTTAACTGCTAATATCTCGAAAATGGAACTTCAGCTTACAAAACGGTAAAACACTTTTCGATTTGTATTTGCATGAGGAATATGCTTGTTACGGATTGTCCCATCTTTTTGGAACACCCTGTACAAGTCATAATCCCAAATTGAGGCCACACTTGGCCTGATCTTTCCTACTACACGAAGAGACATTCTGTTTTCGCAATATGCAGGAACACACGATTCTTTTGTTTATCCAATGATAGTCCAGTGGTACCATATTAGTTCCTAATGCCTAGAACAGCTCAGAGAACTATTAAAACTAGGGGTGGTTTCTTCGACGAAAAGCAATATAACAAAGAATACCTATGTCTTCGCAAACAATCATACAAAATGTAAAATATGTTGCTTTTTAATTTTTTAGCAAATAAAGTTTTCTTAGTCACTTTAAAGACGTTCATATTTTCGTAAGAAAATAATGTTCCTCTTTAATTCAAGTAGTGATTCCAAACTTTTAGTCGATAGTGTAGGTATTCCAATGATCTCGAAACGATACGATTTGACGAATGCTTACCCGGTGGCTTCAGGGGTACGATGTGGGACATGTTAGACGGCATTCGCGATAAATCCGTCGGCTCGAGACTGTGACTACGTGTGCGTTCAAGGTTGCTAGGAAGATCGTTCACACGCAAACTGAGCTGCCTCTTGAACGGAGACGCTTGATTCAGTTGCGTGAAACCACGGAAGGAACCTTGCCGTTCGAGCATCGACGGGGTCGCGTGAGGTCTCTCGATGGCGAAGGGGTTGTAGACTTGCTTCACCGGTGGCACATCTGCAAAGACCCAACAGTCAAACTTAATACCGTTTCATTTGCATATCTGAACTTACGAAATTATGGATGTAAACTGTGGATAACTCTTGGGACTGCTTTGGGACGTAAGCTGTTTAAAGTTTAATTTACTTTCATTATTTATGCGTTTGAGTCATGTATACACTGTACCTACATCGTGTTTCTATTCTTAAATACTATCCTGAATGCGATTGTACATCAATGGGGAGTTTGCCCTATAAAGAAATAAATAATGATAACAGAAATGGTATCATAAAACATGGCATCGCATATTCTGAAACATGTTTACTCCGGGCTGTTAGACACTGCACAAAAATGATGTATTTTTTTACATTCAGCTGCCGTTGGTGTAATTCATCTCTTACACGCCATATCTTTGCACCAGTGAAGAACAGGACGCTTTTCAAGAATTCATACCGGAAAAGCTACTCGATGAAATTACTTTTATTTTTATTAAAAAGGGGATACATTGTAGATTATTTAAAAAAATGTCGAAGTTGTATATAAAGAAATTATATGTATTGGGTGTCATAGTAGTAGTTTGATTTGAGAATGGATGGAGAATTAAAGTTTATTATATCAGCCATGACTTATCGAGGGCCGATTTTTAAATTTGAATTGATGTTTAAACTGAATTACGCCATTCTAAACGAGAAAAAATGACATTTTATGTAGAAATTTTCCCCTTTATTAATGAATACACATCTATAAAATAGAAAATCAAAAGAACAGCTCGTAAGCCAAAGATAATTTACCGGCTATATGTATACGAGACGCCAAATTTCGTGAAAAAATATGATACAGGGTTATCGTGCAGACAGTCTCCAAAATGTGTATTTCGAATAAAACGCGTGTAATGTTTCTCTTGCCCTATTGTTTGCCATAGTACACTCTTACAATTTCAACTTTAACCTCATTGATTTTCGGAATTTTCTCATAAAACTTATACAGAATATTCTTCATTCTATATGCAGGTAAATAAGCAAATAAAAAATCAATATTTTGAACCTCCCGGAGGCATGGACACCCCGAAGGAGGTTACTCTGACTGAATATTTAAATGTAGATCCTTCTTAGAGTCTTTTTTTACAGAACTGGTAAGAAATATATTAATAGGAGTTTCTGGGGTCAATTAAGCAATGTTTTGAGATAAAATTCATATTTTAGTATTGCAAAACAAACATCAATTCAAAAATATATGTAACTGCAAATCCACACAAGAATTCAGAAATGCTGTAGTTTGGTGATGCTGTAGATTACTCCTCCTAAAGAAGATACGAAACAAAAATTGAAGTGTAGTTATGAGACATCGTATATACTATACATGGCCCTTCACAGAGCAAACCATGGAAATTGAAAACTCTTAATAGTTATGGAAACGGCGTCATTTAAAATTGATAAAAATCGGACATTTTTTCGAACACCAAAGAAAAAGTAATGAGGCTACAATTACTATCATAGTTGATGCTACAGAGACACTTCTTTGACAGGTGTATACCATATTTCAAGTGAATGCATTCATGACTTTTCCAGTTATCCACACCGCCAGGTCGAAAAATAAGATTCTCAGAAAAACGAAGTTAAAGTTGTAATCTAAGTTCCAACTCCATACAGTAAACCCTCATCTTCTTCTTCGCACAAATCATTTTTGACAGCGAACTATGGGAAAAAGATTTTTCGATTTTTGCAAACCCATCAAAACCGAAACTCTCTTAATCTTTTCGTTACGGTGGAGTTGGCCGCCAGTATACTGCCACTGTACGGAACAGTTGAGTCACAAGACTACACTTTTCCGCAAACAGTATAACATCTGCGGTAACAGATACGGTAATTCCTAACTAACGCGAAAGTTTGACGGTTGGCTATGGTCACCTATGCCTATAAGCTACAAGAACCGCTCAGAGGTGGGTGATTACAGTCACCTGTAGTAAAGTGCGTTACTCAGAAGAAGTCCAGTGAAGAGTATGCTAGTTCGATTGGTTATATCTCTCTAAGCCCACCCCGTCTTTAATTCAACCGTAGGATATTGAGCACATATATTTTCTTTATTGGTCAGCGCGATGAACGACTTCAGGCAGTGCAAACAAAGTGCCATTTGCCCCTGTGCCCTTTAGCTGAACTTCTTCTGAGCAAAGCACTTTATACAGTCAGCGCTCGAGGTTTGGTGACCATAGTCACCATTACCAACGAAAGGTTAACGAAGCTCATTGTCGTAGAATTAATTATTCAGCTCCTATTAACTAATACTAACCGACAGCCCTTTCACGCGAATCTTGCAGTCGTTCGGTAAGACTCGGTTGCCTGAAACTGCCACTTCTTGTGAAGGTTGAGGTCTTCGAATCAAATGTCATCGTGACGCCGCATTCCTTGTCCCTTCTCTGCTTTCTTTCCAAACAGGCGGCGAAGGCGCAGCCCACCGCGTGACTCAAACGTTCTCCCTGAAGCAGTCGACGAGGAAAAATGTTCGCGTGAAACTGCGTACCCTCTGAAGCTTCTCATCAATAATAAAAAGCTTTTCTACCCACCGACTCTTTCAGCGCCAAGAAACCGTGGCACATCCACCGTCTGGTCGTACCGTCTCTGCAAATGTAACTGAATCCTTTCTCGTGGTTTCGGTCCGGCGCACAAAACGAAACCTTCTCTATCGTCTGATCGACGATCAGCCCTTTCGTCTCGTCCTCGACCACCCTCAAACCGTCCCCGGACACGTGTAGCACTGCGCGAACGGGCCGCCGTCTCGAGTTCTGTCGATTTATTAATGGGGAAAGAAGATTAAATCGCAAGCCTTCCACGTGAAAACGTACAAGGTTCTTTCTTTATTCACGTAGCTGTTAACTTACTCTAAGTACTTTCAATGCTTCCTCGCACACCTGCATGCCCCTTGACTCGAACACCTCGACACATCCCAGGTACTGCAACGGAAACATCGATTTCGGTTCACATCGATTGGGACCAAGAATTTTTTTCAAAGGAAAAATATTTTTACGCTAAAACTGACCAAACCCATCGAGACGAGTGATTCTTTTAGTTTACAATCACTGAAATTACAAAGACGCGTGTTTTCTCGAAATTTACGTTGACCTTTAATTTATTATTGAAACTTATACATTGTAATTTTTCTTATATTATATTATAGTGTACAGAATGATTCCAGTTTTGACCCGACAAATTGCAGGAGTGTATTCTACGAGTGAAAATATGTAAAAAGAAACTGGTATGTCGTATGCAGTTCAGCTGTAAATGTTTTATTACGAAGTTACAAGGAAATATTGAACACAACACGAAATATAACATGTACACTGACGTACACCCTCGAGCAAACTCTGCTTCCGCTAGGGTAAAAAGTGACATAGGGATAGGGCCTTCTACCATTCGATTTCGGAAGTTTCTGAAATTTATGGCAAATTAACATGCATCATAACATTTATTTCAGTACTTGAAATAAATTTACTAAGTGGTTGGAGACCATTCTTCTACGTCACTTTTTCCCCTAGCGGAAAGCGAGTTTGCTCGTGGGTGTAAAAGCTTGGTTTCCGCTAGGGGAAAAACTGGCTTACGGGAAGGGCCTCCCACACTTGGTAAATTTATTTCAAGTACTGAAATAACGGTTAAATCGAATGTTAATTTGATATAAGTTTCAGTGATTCCCGATACTAAATGGTAGGAGGCCCTGCTCCTACGCCACTTTTTCTCCTAACGGAAGCAGAGTTTACACTCAGTGTACAGTACCAGTGCGTTATACTTATTTATTATATCCCTGTACAGACGTTTTTCTTTTTGTTCGTTGTTATGACGGCGTTACAAAAGTTCTGACCTGCGGAATGTTCATTTTATAAGGCCGACGCTATGTTTCATAGAAGGCACACAGAGATACCTACATATTACAAAAGATGACGTAAGTTTTATCTATACAGGGTGTTAAAAAAAAAAGGGTTTAAAACTTTAGATGCTTATAGCACTACTATACGACTCACCGAGTGGAGTAAAAAATGTCTAATCAACATAGGTCCAAAAATCAATCTCACCGATAAAAAATACAAAAGATTATTTTCACATTTGTTACAGATGTTCGGCATGCCTTCCCTTCTATTTCACTACAAAACTCATATCTGCGGATCATACATCGTCAAACATTTTCAAATATTCTTCTCTTAGCTCGTATTACCAATTGTCATAAAACTTCAAACCAGTGATCGGCAACTCAGTTCCCGACAAATTCACTGGCGGGCAACGACGTGCAGCGTGCGAGCATATAGCAGTGGTGGTGGAAATGTGTGAGAGAGAGAGAGCGCGTATCTATCACTCGCTTCACTCATAAATATGTCGTGATGTGTCCTGCCCGCGGCTGCCCACCACTTGCCTATAGGGGCAGCGTGCCCGAGCGGGCGCAGTTACCCATCAGTGCTTTAAATTAATGTAAGTGGGGTAAAGTAGCCTAATATGAGACCTCAGCCTATCTCCGTTACGGAGAAGTTTTGAACGTCGCAAACAATTTAAAAGAATGCACTACAAGGAACCGCGTAAACAGTGATAGTTTTGACAGTGATAGTAGTAGTGACAGTTAAACAACCGATGAGTGTGAAGAAGAGATTTGTCTGAACGATGAAAGTAATGACAAAGAAAATTATGATGCAGAATGCTAGTTTTGTACAGGACTTTATTCTTCAGATGTACATGGTAAACAATGGGTTCAGTGTATCAAATGTTACCGGTGGGCCCATTGAAGACTGAAGTGCAGACGCAATTAATTTTATATGGCCAATGTGTGAAAAAAGACAGAAAAAATAATTTTTGACAAGATGAAACTCGGGTCTCATGTTAGGCGACCAGCTTTTGAATTCATGTTTTTGCATACTTTTCATTTTTATTTTATTATGACGGAACTCTATCTGTTTTGTTAAAATTTCTAATATGTTGTAAAAGTGTACACACCTTACATTTAAAACGTGTATCGTATTTCAATAAAAATATTTTTAATCGAGAATTATACGTACTTAAACAAATGGGTCTCATATTCGGCTACTTTACTCTACTTCTCCACCAATTTTTCTGTTTGGATTCAATATGTCGTAAAGAAACTCACGATATCGAACGCTCGTAAACATAAAAGTTAATTTTGCACCGAAATGTTTGATTTTAGGACTTATGCTGATAAGACGTTTTTACTCCTCTCAGTGAGTACTAGAAGCTCCTGGAGTTTTGGATTCTTTTTTGGAACATCCTGTATTTAGCCGAACAAAAGTATTCGGACGTTTCATTTAAAAGCATAAATTCTAATCTGGAATATGAGTTTCATGAACACGTCGTATCATATCTTTATTTAGTCCATTCTAGAATCGTACACCCCAAATGTTTGCAAAGAAATTTTAAACAAAAAATTCTAGACGGCTTTAATGGAGCTTCAATACCTACCCATAGCTTTTCGATGCATGGACATCTTAAAATAGATGGTTCGTACCATAAAAAAACAATTTGTTCGACGAAATCACTTACAGAATATATCGAAGTGCAGTCAACATATATTCAGTCACTTTTAAAGCATATTTGAAAGAATATTTTAAGAAATTAATAAATAGTATGCCTAAAATTGTTTCGAAAGTTATTAAAAATAAATATGATGATTTTTATGAGACACAAATTAGATAAGGATGTTTTTCTGTTGTCTTTAAGTTGGTTTTGTATATAACATAATAATATATAATACATGTAATATAAGCCTTTACAATGAATAAGCTATGATTGTAATACAGAATCTATAACTTGATTTTTTAAGATTTTATTTAACTGCTTCCAAACTTTTGACACATGTAGTATATGTATATCAGTTTCTCTTATTAAGAATACACATTTATCTCCGTTTAATTGTCCGCTCTTTGTTTATGGATATGTAGGAAGTTATAAATGTTATTATTAGAAATTGAATGTTTTGTCGTGTAATTTAACACTCGTCATCGATGACCACCGTTGTGAACAACGTGTTAGTGCTTCTCCGTGCATTGTCAGATCCCTTTTATTACATAATTTCGTATCAAGTATATATTGTTCATTAGTTGTATGCTTACAATGGGTCCCGAGCCGTTAATAAAATCAATAGTGACAATATACAGCATCACTCAAAAGTTTGGAGCACCCTCTTCATTCTTTAAATAACTAATGCTTGCCCGCGTATTTACGTTTAATAAATACGTGTATTAAATAATGCGTGTACGCCTATTTACGTTTAATAAAATATCAATTTTGTTCAGTGTTTTTGCGCGTTTATAGTTGTACTTTTTTTCATGCCGCCTGCCATGTATTATTACTTCTTAAAGACGTTAAATATTGAGATATTTATATCTATCACTCTTAGAAAATAAGTCCTAGTCGCTGATATGATAGCTGCTGAAATACAATAAATGACAAAGTTTCTCGAATCATATCTATATCAACATAGTGTTTTCATTTCAAATTAGAAACCCAGGAGATACAGTATATTTCACATAAAGTAATAGAACAAATGAATACGAGTGTCATGCATAGTGAAAACTAATCAACTATATAGATACTTTAGATTCCTTTCTGCAATATTTAAATATATACATAAAATAGAATATGAAAAATTCACAAGTAGAGGCATCTTTATATAATAAATACCTAATTAATGCAAGGCATAAAAAGATTTACAATCAACATGATATAAAAATCATATAGCGAAATGCATACACGTAATGTAGAGAAAGCTATCGACTCATAAAAAAAGAATCAAACGAACAACCATTCGCCTATAAAAGGATTAGATATTTGAAAGGAATTAGTCAGGTGTCTAGCATTACGAATGCAAATTATGGTCATATTGTTAATATTCTTTTCACAGAATGTGCTTCGAAGACTCGAGAGACGCTCGAAACATTTGAGTAGTAGAGGAATATGGTACCATTTTGTTGCTGGTACAACCATTTTGTCAAATTTCTCTAATACATTGTTTACGAACCCCTGCTCGCGACCTTCACCGCCCTGCAAACGCCATTTCTATCTACATTCATAACCACTGTAACGTTTTACCTACAATACTGAACGGAATGTTTTTGAACAAACACCATTTGCTATAGTATATCTGTCTTGCCAAATTATTCTTTTCATAGACCCACCACACTTCGATATATTTTCTACGCGATTTCGTTGAACAAATTGTTTTCTTTTTTATTAAATATACCGTCTACTTCAGGATATACATAATCGAGAAATTCAGAATACTGACGCTCCATTAAAGCCGTCTAGGATCCTAGAATGGATAGACACAGTACGATGTTCTCCTGAAACTCATATTTCAGATTACAATTTATGCTCGTAAATGCAACATACGAAAACTAATCCAGCTAAATATACAGGGTGTTAATAAAAATGATTAAAAAGTGTTAAATTAAAATTAAATAAAAGTTAATAAAAAGTATAACACTTTCACACAGGATGGATTCTAAGTGCCAAACTGTAAGACGAAAATCAAGTATGACAGAATTGTGTTAGATGAAACTTATTTTATATTGTTCAATATGTAAGTATCTCTGTGTAATTTTTATAAAAGCTAGCGTCCAGGTAATAGTAAACACTCCACACGGCAAAAGTTTTGCATCATCGTCATAACAACAAACAAAAAGAAAAACGTCTGTGTTTAAATTCACCTGTCGCTACTATAGCCTTTATATATCTATTTATTTTATTGATACTAAGAAGACATCCCGTGACCCGACCTCGACATTGAATTTGCTAAACCTGGTACATCTCGTAATCTGTATGCTGTATGTTGATATCTAGATGTGGAATATTATATTAGTTGGTCGGCCAATCTCAAAGATCATCAATGGTCCAAAATTGTGAGTCACTGTTCGAGGCGTTAAGCTGCGTCTACACTATATAGAATAACACGTTATATGTGAACTTATAAAACATGTTAGAGAAACATAAAAAAAAAAGTTATACAACATGCTGTTGCATAACATTTTTCGTGTTATATAGCAAGTTATATGTTATCCATCAAGTGTTACGCCATTATTAATAATGAGATGCGAAATGTTATACGAACATGTTACAGACTTGTCCAAATAATCTTGTAACAAGTTATCAAAACATGTTGTATAGCAAAGTTATATAACACTGTTTTGCTACATAGTGTAGACGCAGCTTAACTGTATTAACCCTTTCGCCCCTAACGCCGTCACCTGTTAAGTGATCCGTGAATACCAATGACGTCTCTTATCCGTCATCCGTAAGTCATTAAATACAAGTTTTTAAACGACGATAAACTATAATTTTAGATAAACATTGTTTTTATATGAATCCTGTTCTGTTTTTCTTTATGAAAAATTATATCTCCAATGCAACGATTGAAAAGTAACTAAAGAGGCGTATCCGTGATTCCGGCCAGGAAACATTGCCTTACTGCATAATTGCAACTCGGTTCACGCTGCCGTAACGAAAGGGTTAATGTGTAAGACGATACCTTAACATGGAAGGCGCAAGTAGCCGAGCGAACAGCCGTCTCGTCTGCTTGCCATTGATGGGGTTTACTCGATTCCGGGACATGGGGATCTTTCCGCCGCCGGAAGCTGTCACGGAAGCTCCGCCGAAGTCGGTCCATTCTTTTCCCAGGTGACCTCTCTCGCTTCTGCAAAAAAAACACAAACAAGAATGAATTATTACCTTATCCAATGAAATTTAAATGACTGCAATAACTTTAATGATGCAACATAAATCATCCGAATCTGTTTTTAATTATTCGTTCAAAGAAATTCACGACTTGCAACGTGCGCCATTTTCCTACGAATGATCTATACAGTAACGTTTAGTAACTCGGACACAAGGAAGTAGAAGTTAAGTTTTTGTTGAAATAAAAATAGAAATCAGCATAATTTGTTGAAATTTTAATTTTATTTCGATCTAAATACGCATTCTCCATAAATTGAGTGAAACATAATGTCTAGTTATCGAAGGTGAAGAAAGCCACATACGAAGGTCGCAATTTCACATTCGCTCGATTAATCCTCAAGGACACGGACCGTGAATAGTTGCCCTAAGACACGGGCGGCGTGCTGCACACGCCATTCCCTTTCTTCGTAATTTTAGAAGGCAGCAGCGGGTTTTTTGGTTCTCTTTTAATTTAACAATTTACTATTATTCATGCTAGATAATTAGGATGAAAAGAAAAAACATTTTTCTGACAAAAGAATTTAGATAAACAGAAGACTTCGTACGGAATACGCCCCCGTTGTCATTTAGAGTTAAACGATTAACGAAACATGTCTCTCTGCTCGCTCAAGCTGGAAGTATACTTTTATCGTACAATCAGAGAAATTTATTCGCCTCAAAAGTGGTTAAAGTTCGATCTTTTCAACCGAACTTTTCTGCCAGGGAATATTTCATATGATTCCGAGCTCATCACCGAACGCATCCTCGAAACTTTTGATGGTCCGCAGACGAGTCGCCTCCTGGTGACAATTTCACGAAACGGCGGTCGGTCGTCGAGAACAAAGACATTACGTCGCGCCACTATCATCTTCCGACGATCCTCGATTCTCTTCGCCCGTTAAATGTCCCCCTCGTGTGTACGAGAAACCTGCGAATATTCCCAGAGGACAAGGAGGAACGGTCTCCGCGTTCAGGTTTCCCCGATGAGTCGTTTAACAGTCGGCCTTGAGAAAATAGCTGGTGGAAAGCAGGCTGGAGGGCAGTGTCTGGCAACAGTCGAGCGTCGAGTCGAGGTCTTTTACAATGCCCTGTGATCGAATCTTTGCCTCGGTTCCCAAAGAATCTTTTATATCAGAACCCTCCCGGTCGAGCTCTTTCTCCCCTAGCGCGGCCGTCTACCCTCCTAAATCGCAGCGCGAGCCCCTAAGAACCGACCAGACGGATCAAGAACCGAGGACCCGTTGAGAAAACCCCTCCTGGTCCCTCTGCCTTCTTTTCTTCTTTTTTCATTCAATCTCTATTATTGATGATTACAAGTTGTTTGCAATAATCGGCCGATCACCTATCCGTGCGCTAACGCGACACCTTTCTAGGGGCGCACTAGCTGTTCTCACGTGCATTAAATATTCGATTATACCGGGTGTTCTCACGAGAATCACGCGAAAATTATTATTTTGGTTGTTGTCATTATTAATCTTGCTACTTTTAGGTCTATCTATTGGATTGGCCAAAAAGTAATCTCGAATTACGACAATTCCAATCCTAGCGAGGTAAACTTTTCAATTTTGTTTGCTTAGTTTTATTTTGAAACTGTCGTAAATTCACAATTTAATACATAAATTATTAATTTATTCAAAAAGTATGATATACTTTATATTTTTTTTTATATTATACACTCGATATACGTGTGAACTTCGTCACTCAAAAGCACATTCTCCACGAAAAATATAGTCAGTCAAAAAGGTCTCCAAACACAGGTTGACGAAATAATAAATAAAAAAAAATTTTAACGAAGGTGTAATCCAATTTTATGTCCAATTTAAAAAAAGTAGTACCGTTTTAAAGTGGGTATGGACACTTTTTTGACTGTCTATATGTATATCGACTTCGCACTGAACGTGTTAACCCTTTCATTCCCAAATCATTTATCAATTACGAAAAAATATTTATTTTTGTAGTTTTATCTGTATTGCGTGATATAAATAATTCCAAGACAATTTTTAACATTTTGAAGGCATTCAGTGCCAATTCTCATTCATTGCCATTTGGCAACATCTTGTACTTAAGTATATCTCAGTTATGTATAATAATAATTAATACTACAAAGTTACTATACGTAATCAAACGCATTTTTGTTGCCTTTTATTAGTGGACATTCTTGAATTATTCAAAACAAATTAGAGTTTTCTAAGATCTTACTGTATTGCTAACAATACTGAACACTTGAGTTCCAGTAAATGAAAGAAACAAAGGATAATAATGATAAGCTTTTACGAGCATATAACAATTTCTGTCATTCTATCTATACAAGACCAGAATAAAGTATTATACATATGTATACTCACAGATATGAAGAAGTATATTATACTAATATTTTATTTCGTGATTTAGAATACATAGCCATATGCCAGCAGTGGAAAGGAAAGGTTTAAGAGACGTAGAACTTATGACGAATTTCTGTTTTAAAGTGGTGCAATTTTCGTGGAAATGCACCAGTAATGACGGCGGTGATCCGTTCACATTAACATCATAAAATTTCCTGAAGATAATGGTCGCAGAAGCGAAACACCGTCGCCGTAAAAGATAAGAGAACGGGCCTATCTCACCCTTAATATACGGAAACACGTGAACCTAGGCTTACACGGTCCCCATTGAGCCAGATAAGGAATATCAACGAGATCATCTCAACATTTCCACAGCACGGTGGACGCCCCATAAATACATATTTCGTTCCCGAGTGTATGCGTATCACATATGGGGAGGACCGATTCCCAAGGGAGCATTCATTTTAATCCGACCTTTTCATCGCGGTATTTTATTCGCCCCACTGAACGGAATAAGCATCACTGCGATTTCTGGCCATCCTTCGAGAACGATAAATCCTTTAAATTACGAACCGCTCCGAAGAAATTTAAATCGAAACTGATTAACAGTTTAACCCTCCCCCCTTTGTTTACTTCGGAAATATTATATATCGCAGGCGTGCAATCGTAAATCCATGATCGAAAATAAATATATTCATCTCTGGGACCAGAACTCTTAAGGAGCACGAAGTCATATGGTTGATCAAAGCGATCTACAATATTTTTTATTTGCCTGTCATAAATTATCAAAATGATTTTACAGATTTCCATAATACGACAGCAAAGTATTTCTTGTTACGTACAACAGAGTTTCGAAAATTAATGATAGCTGGAGTACGGATGTTTATGGAAAGTTCAATTTTATTAGGCTGTTGCTGTTACACGATAATTCGTATCGAGGAAAAATTAATTTCATTGGTTAACAGGTGTGTCAAATTAAAAGTAAAATAAAATTTTAATTAGTCTTACTTTCTAGGTTTAATCTTTTTTGTTTCGTGGTGTTCCGCGTACTTGTGATTTTTTTAGACACATAAAACCTGCGATTTAATGACGACTAAATTGCAGAAGCTTATATACTTGCATAAATGTGCGAAATACGATAAAATAAACGTGCTAATATAGCTTGATAAAAATGTGCACCATTCTCAGTTAAAGAGACACTCAATGAGGAACATATAAGCTCCGACTACTGTATGTGTACATTAACGTTTTGTACAAATTTGAATTAATACCAACATTTACTGTCGCCTGTTGATTAGCATATACGAATGCCACCTGTGTACTTACGTTTCACTCTCGAAATTTGCTCTCTAGTAACAGTTTACTCTTTAATAACCTTCCTTGTACTATCAGGAACGACACTCAAAGGATAAGGCACCTACGCGTGAACACTGAATAATCTTTTTTACGTATCACGTACTGTATAGAAGTATCAATTATCTGACATTATCTGTACAATGCATAATTCAGTCACTAACTTGATTTTATCTTACATGACATTATACGATACGACAATCTATTTAACTTTTACTTGAATTTATTTAGCATTCAAACAAATAACAGATACCTTTTCATGGTGTCCATATACAGGGTGAGCCATTAAAATCGATCCCCCCGAATATCTTCGAAACCGTTGATAATATCGAAGAATGTTTAAGACTTACGACAAAAGTGGAGTTTCCGTTCGTTTAAAATTTTCTGTCCGTTTTACTATATCCTAATCATGAATGTACAGTTATGGTCATAAGTAAATTTAAAAGCTCCGACATGCTAACGAAAACAAATATAAGTTAACAAAGACGAAACAGATTTTGTTGTGACAATCAAAATTAATTGTAAATATATAATATAAACTCCAAGAAATAATGTGAGCACTAAAAATAGTACGTAATAATAACGAAATATCGGGTTTATTTATTCACGATAACAATTAACACGCGAAATACAATAAATTCACCAAACAAATGTCTAGATGCAACTTCTTATGTAATTTCTGAATTTGTTATCGTAACCTCTCAAATATGTATATTATTACCACGAATACTTTCAGGAAATTTTCAACAAATTTATTAGTTTCCAATATTACAATAAAATCTATAAATGTATTTTTGTTTTTTTTTATTTATTCTTTATAGTCGCATTAACCTCTAATAGCAAGGTTACTAGCGACTACAATTATATTCAAATTACGATACCATAATTTTTGGTAAAGTTTTCTTGTAGACAACACACAGAGCACTGATATTGACATGGCACTTCGAGCAACGACTAGTGACGTACGGGGAGAACTATTGTAGAACGACATTGCGATATAGCACCATTAATAACCACAGGGCAGCCAGGAATCATTTTACCCCGAGGGAACGTTTTAGACACCTTTCCCTTAGTCCTGTACAAATTCGGTTTACACATCCAATGGACTCTAATGTTTATTATATGACATTCTTCGATATATTCTAACTTAATTTATAATGATGAGATTCCAAGTAGACGGAACATATCCAGAATAGTTATCATTTGATCTGCCCGCGTTACAGAGTACTTCGTGCGTTAGCTGCACCGTTGTCAACGAGTATATGAGTATTTGGAGTAACATAATGGA